GACGGAAGTTTTTGTGCTTTTTCCTCGTGTCGCGAGAATCCAATTAACATGGTACGATTAGCAGAGAATTCTACGAATCCGCGTTTCAAAATGACGCGACAAAGATTTGACGACAAATGTAATTTTCCAAGTCCGAGGATACGGCGACGACTGTTCACACGAAAATAGCGTGTTTATCAACTGAATTGATATAATGATAATAATGGTGGATTCCTCCGTTTATTTTCGAGCATCGCATCAATGGCATCAAAATGTTCTCCAACTTGGCCACCATTGACTCATAAATCACGTCGTATATATTTAACGGTATTATGGAAATCAGTTGTGGTACATGCACCAAACAGATTAAATATACATACGTAGATCAAGTTACTGGTGTAGTTTTATGAATCATTGGCACGCGTTGCACGTTTTTATTTTGGCCATTGTGGCACGCGACTCCCGAATGCGTGTGAATTCCTGTATTTGCGTGGAAATGCAAAACTAATCGGCACGACAGAGCTCAACGACAAATTCAGCTCGATCACGAGAGTAAATGGATCTTAATTCTACCATCGTGAGAGTTAATCCTTTGTTAGTTACCGCACTTCCGGTAGCCGTGTACGTACATCGTTTTACGTCATGTTTACACGTGTCTCACGTACAGTCTGTTATTCGGGCACAGATAATACCTCCATAATTTCACAAACTCCACAAATTTTTCTCTGTTCGAAAATCAAAACATCAGAACTTATCAAGGAGAAGGGAAAACGACTCAAGAGAATGTTAAAAATTATGAATTTAATGACAAAAGACACGCGAGTATAAGAGAAGAGTTTTCCACAAATGAGGATGATTTTTTTCATGATTTGCCAAAGGCTCATACTGTTTTTTCCAGTTTCATCGTAAGTGTATGATATCAAAACGAATCTCAATCGTAATTGTATAATATATATATATATTGATTTATATTATTATATTTATATAATAAAATAAAATATATATTATATATATTTATATATAATATGTATAATATAATTAATAAACAATATATTATTATATTTATATAATATATAAATTAATATATAATATATTATTATATTTAAAACAAAATATGTATTATATATATTTATATATAATATACACAATATAGTTAATAAATAATATATTATTATATTTATATAATATATATTAATTTAAAATTATAATCCATATTGTATTTATTGCTCTTATATTTGTATAATATATAAATTATAATATAATATATTATTATATTTAAAATAAAATATATATTATATAATATATATTATATATATATTATATATAATATAATTAATAAACAATATATTATTATGTTTACATAATATATATTAATTTAAAATTATAATCCATATTGTAGTCATTGCTCTCATATTTATATAATATATAAATTAATATATATTACCATATTTAAAATAAAATATATATTATATTTATATATAATATATATAATATAATTAATAAATAATTATATTTAAAATAAAATATGTATTATATATATATAATATAATTAATAAGTAATATATTATTATGTTTATACAATATATATTAATTTAAAATTACAATTCCATATTGTATTCATTAACACAAATGCAGAATAAGTTCCGCATTTATAAGAATTATCGATTCTAAAATGAAACGAATGTCGAACGTATCTTTCCCGACGATCGAACGATCGCACAATCTGTCCCCGTTATCTCGCCGCATTGATTGAATCACAGACGAATTATAAAAGCCCATTAAATCACTGCGTTCATTTAATCGCACGAGAGAGGCATAGCCGGTGGATTAAGATAATGTATCTTAATGACTTCATAAAGACGGCACGCTGTGTCGTTCAAAGCGTATTACAGCGAGCAGGAAGTGAGAGATCGCTGAAGCGAGCGTGGCTCGAGCGGGAAGCACCAAAATATCGATCCAGCCGGGGTTACATGTTGCTGGATCATCTGGAGAATGAAGAGGGGGGGGGGGGGTTAGGTCGTTCGACGCGGCCAAGGCCTTGAAGCCTAATCAGCCATGGTCGTCCCGTCGTTAACGTTAACGCATGCACGAACAAACACATTCGTATAAATCGAGATAACTCCCGGCAGACGAAGCGTACATCGCTATCTCGCAATTGTACAAATTACGATTACACGCTTCCGCGTCGGCTTCGGTTAACCTCGGAAGCGGGTTAATATACTTTGATATCGGCGAGTAATAAAACAGCTTGCTTTCCGGTTAAAATAACTTTCCTAAAACAGAGCTTTGCTTGTCTCCTTTAGTCTTAGCTTTTCTGGATCTTTTGGGAATTTTCGTGTCTTTCCTATATTTTGGATTGGTTGTTTGATTGTAGTGAAATTGATATTTGTCCATGTAACATTGACTGATTGAATGTTATTAGAAAGCAAGAATGTATATTGTTTGATCATTATATCTAGTATTTTTGAAATAAATTTAGTAGTATCTAAATAATTTAATGTTTTTATATAAAGAATTCATGGGGTGAATTATAAATTTAATTATATCTAATTAATTTGATATTATAATTCATATTGTATTCATTGCCCTTATTAAATATAAATTATTATATGTGTAAAAAATATACGAATATTATTAAGTTTAATTATTAAATACAATTCTTTGTGACATATATTATATCTAGTCAAATAAAATTCTATGTAATTATATAATTATACTATAAGTATAATAAGTATTATACTATAAGTATTATATAATTATACTATAAATATAATTCTATGTAATTATATAATTATACTATAAAATTATAAAATTAATGTTACTTCTTCTCTGAATAATTGTTCTGCATTTGTAAGAATTATCGACTCTAAAAATTAAAATTATCAATTTCTTTATACATTTGAAATAATTTACGTGATATTATATAACATAATATGAATGTACACTAAATATATTTTCTTACTAATTAGTTTTACCATTTCACATTCAATTTCTTTCAATTTATGGATTCGAGAATTTGGTAACTATTTACTTAAATATAAATTTTCAATCATTTTTATTGTATTCAGCTCATATAAACAGATATTTTGATAATTAATTTTGATAACTTTGACAAGCCAATAACGAGATTTTAAATTATCCTGTTATATTTATTATATTTCTCTTACAGTTCAGTATATGTAGCATTACAGAATAATTTTCTTCATTGCACATTTTTATTATTTCTTCTATATTTAGTCTTCTTATTTATACTTTTTTATCTACTGAATTGTAATTTACAGTAAATTTATTCAGAAGTAAATTTATACATCAGACAAACGACATATCATGTGTACCAATTTAATGGACTGCAATTATGAGCCAATCTGGCGCGATAAATTATTTTGACATATCAAGAAATATCGGAAAACCTTCGCATAAATTTTTGAACCGTAAATCTTTCTTCCTTATCTTTTTTATTCACGAAGTTCTTATTTTTTATTTCTTTGCAACGCGATATTGTGCAATATAGACGTATACACATTTTACAAGATAGGATGAAGTAATCGCAGCTATAACTGTTGAGTCATAATACTTTAGTACATATTTGATTGGTCGTTATACTTTTATGCGTCAATGGAAATGTTGGAAATGGCAATGGAACCGTCAGTGGAATATTTGTAACTCTGAATAAATATAGAACTATATCTCTTTGGTTAAAATCTATGCAAATGGTTTCAATAATTATAATTGTATATTTAATAATAATAACGATAATGATGATGATGATAATAATAATATTATTATTGTTGTTGTTGTTAATATTATATTTTCTCTAAATCATGGCAAAAAGTCTACAAGAACTGATAAATTAAACACGTGCTAAAAAAAAAACTGTTATATTGGCTTAGAAATTAGATATCACTATATATGCAATGGCATAATACTAACGCTAAATATCTTGTTTTACAAGACAACGGTAAGCGTTAAAATCTTGATTAAGTATCCAGACAACGGTAAGCGTTAAAATCTTGATTAAGTATGCAGCGCCGCCTTAACTCAGGCACTTATAATTCATAGTAAAAGGGACGCAATTCAGTAGCTTTAATTTACGATAACGAACCGGTAACAGCACAGTCACGAACCAATTACAATAATTCTATGTAAAGAGTAACCGCCCTCTTATCTTGCTTCATTTTATTATCCTTTCTTATTCTGTTAGTTATCCTATATTGTTGTACTTATATTTATTGTTGTACTTATATGTTTTTTATTTTTTATATTGCGTTGCGTGTATATTCGTGCATAACATTCAATTTCTTTTTATTCTAACAATGTATTATTTCAAAATTATATCGTAAAAAGATTTACACCCCTGAATAAATGAAATTAATGTAACCTGAATCAAAACTATCTTATTGATTGTTAAAATATAAAATCATTGAATTTGATAACTAAAAGTGTTGTTACAGAATATCTATCTTCCCTTTGATTATCATGACTTAGAAAGCTTAAGCAAAATCCAAAAATTTATTTTTGAGCACGTAGAGAAAGAAATGTAATATTATCTAAAATGATGATAAATTTGATCATCACTTTTTTCAATTCAAGTTATAATCACATGATTGTTAAATTATCAAAATCTCGACCTAGTTTGCAACTAATAATCACCATCCATTTGTCATGAATCAAAGAAAGAAAACCTTAGCGAGAGACTCAGACAATTAATTGTATGTCACGGACAAGCAATGAAATATTTATCCGTCGACCAATGACTGATCTTTCACTAACAATTAGAACGTGAACGTAACATGACTTACGCATAAGAGATAAAAAGAAGTGTCCTACTTTCGCGATTAATTAATATACGAATCTAAGAAATGAATGACGATCAAGATCAGATGTCAATAAGTGATTTGTTCCTGCAAAACGCGTATGACTGTGTTATTTAAATGGTTGCACATATAATGAAAAAATAAAACATATGGTTTCTTTTATGTTAAAGAGACAAATTCTATAATATTCATTAATACTTAAGTTACCTTTGTTCAAGTTATCGAAACATCATCGAATTTGAGGTTATTGTTCACTCTCTTACCTGAAACAGAAAACAAAATCGTTGAAGTTAAAACATACGACAGAGCAAAAAATGTGTATTAAATAAATTCAATTTATGTTTCGACTAACTGCCACAAGTGCTTTGATAAACTAAATTTTGCTTAAAAGAATTAAAGATACAAGGATTATTATTTAAAAGAACGCGTACGGACCAATTAAATTATCGATAGAAATCAATATGGCGTCTACTAACCTAAATATGCTAAAAAACTTTCGTTCACTTTTGAACCAATGAATTCCTAAACTCAAATTTTAACTCGCCAAAAGTTATCAAGCGAATTATAAAAAAAAAAAAAAAAAAAAAGGATAGTCAATCATTTTTAGTTTGGTAAAGTAGAGTTTAATCTTAACCAAACGAATTTATACGAAACCTGTGGTCAGTGGTGTAGTCACGCTCTTCATTGTACAGAATCGTGAACAATCAATCAAGGACGGAATATTGTAATGACCTGTCACTGTCTGTATGTTCGTAATCATAGTACTGGACAAAATTATGCACATAGAAGTTATTAATTAATTCGCGACGGATACACTCTTGCTGAATCAGCGGCGCGGCGCGACGCGACGCGCGGTTCCATGACGAATTCGTGTTTCGTTGGCGCGCATGCGCATGCGCGGCTCCTTTCAATACGAAAATCAACCGCGCGACCAGCGCAATAACAAATTAACAAATCCGAGAGCAACGTCACATCCTCATCTCGGGCCCGATCATAGATCACGCGTGGGACGACTGTGCACGCTTTTGCTCCTTCTGGCCCTGAATTATCAGTTATATACATTATACACGGGGCACACGATAAATCACTGCCTGTTGCTGCTTTGCTCTGTAACAACATTGACCTTCTTCATTCGATCGCGTGCTTTCGGGCCTGACGCGAATAACACGTAGAACTTAACACTTTACCGACTGGTAATTACCGGCCACTATTTTACCGCTATCGGTCGGTAAAGTGTAAAGTGTTTATTTAATATGATCTTATTACACTCATACTTTTTGCAACTTATATCAGTTTTAATTGACTGTTTACCAAGATACGAGTAAAATTGAAATATATACGAATTCAAGGATCGTATAGTAATTAGTATGACAATTTCTTTCCTTTCGCCTGTTTATTATTTAGTGCACGTTCAGTTTCACATCGTTTTACATAGAATGACTGCATACGCGTGTAACACCAAAGATAAAATATTAATCGAGTCAGAGCATGAGAAATATCTATCCGCTTCGCAGATTAAACTAATGTAGGTTACGTAGAAACTATGCTCCACAAATTAATCGTGAACAGGTAATCTGTCATGAATATTCGAGATTGGCGAACAATCGCATGTGTAAAATGAGAGAATCCTTTGATTGCTCTGATTAATCGAGAAAACGTTTGCGTTAGCAGAATCATAAAGGAAATTGTTCCCGTTTCGTGGCCAATGAAATTTAGCAAATTTTCAAATATATCGATTGCTTTGATAAAATGTAGAATAAAATTTTTTAATTACGTGGAAAATCTAAGTCTGTAAGTCAGGAAACACTAACATGGAAAAATAGGCAAAACTAGAGAATTTAATTTTAGTTTCGAAATCATATTTTTTACTGATTATTTGATGAATCGAAATTGGATTAATATTATTTTCAAAACAGTTATAAATCTTAAAATATCAGCGACTGCAGTTAATTGAGAAATAAAGAGGAAAGATTTTCCTCTAAACGTCGAGTTAATATTTCATTAACATTAAAACTACAGAGACTAAAGTCTAATGTCACAGAAATAAAAGTGCAAGTCACGAAAGAAAATTACGAATTATTCATTTTCAATGACAATTCTAATTTAAAAAATCCGAATGTAATTGATTCTTGTCGCGCAGCAGCAGTTACTATGGCGAATTTGAATTTATATTATATTTATATATTGAATTTATATACTGCTGTTACCCCTTTCTGTCGATTTTAGTTTAACCAGCTGAATTGAAAGTAAAAAGTTAATGAACATATTAATAAATGGATCGATTATGACCTCACAGTGATGTTTTAATTTAGGCCAATTGCGGCGATTATTACATATTAACGAGTGTAGGATTGTAATTGATAGAACGCAGTTTATTTTTAAACAAACGAGTTGAAATTTCCTTTTAAATGGAGTCTATTTCTTTCAAATTCGTTTGTATATAATATATAATAATAATTCATTATTAAACTGTAGCTAAAAATATATTATTATGTGATTAATTTTTGTGTTTAAACACAAAATTATGCGATTCATAATTATTAAAATTGTCATTTATATAATTATCTCTACAATTCTTAAATCAAAACAAATTCCACAATTTCATGATGCATTTTCGCATGAAATGTGTTTTGCAATAACAATGACACTTTTATAAAATTCCTTTTCGCAAAAAGTATGCGTAACATTCGATTAAACGAAAGATTTCGCAACGTTGCGAACACTTGCAAAATCGATCTTTTAAATTCTGTAGAACGTGATTAAAATGTTATTACGACATTGTTGTTCGATTTTATACACGAATGATGACATTCGCTTTAATCTTTCGTTGTATACAAAGTGGTTATCTAATCTCGACTAAACCGCAGCAACGTGTGTTTAACATCTGTAAATCATTCGCCGCTTCTACGAAGAAGCCATTTTTGAGGAAAAGATTTCATTCACTAATAATTATTTATTCAACTTAGAAATAAATACTTGTTGCGTTCGTGCACTTAATCTATTGTTACGGCTATGTTATCATTAGAAGTTAGTAAAAAATTTCGAGGAGAATCAGTTTGATTCGAATTCTTACATTAAAACATGCGACGATGAATTGAATCGTATTTCGCCAATCAGTAATTTTCGCTACTGACTTCATGCTACTACTTCAATTTAAACACGTGTCATATTAACCCGAATAAAGGCTTAACTGCAAGCAATAAACATGTCTACATAAATTTCGTGTAATTAATTGAAATTTCCAATCCTCAATGTCGAGACAGAATCACGATCACGGTAATTACAAAAGCATGATCAACTGCACAATTCTTTGTATACAGTTATTCGCACATATCATCGTCATTTGACGGAATGAAGTATGAATAGCTTCTTAAAAGTCTGTACGTGTCTCCAGACTTATCTACATAAAAAAAGTGCCTATTTTTTATCAGATAACGGTACGTGTGTGTGAGTTTCTATCGCGACATGAATATCGACTATATTTCCACCAGTGAATTTATTGATCGATCGCGCGTAGAATGGCGTAACTGATACGCGAACACTTTATATGGACGTTTGATCATTTTTGGTAAGATTAAACGTATAAAATTGGGGGCAAATCCGACTACGTTGACTTCATTGTTGCGAATTTTTATGCAAATTTTGTTAAGGAACTTTGGTGAAAAATTTTTTTACGTACTAAATGTTATAGAGGGCATTATCGAATTTTCTGAAATTGTGTATTTGTGAAATCTTCTATATTTTTACTATTGTTATTTTTCAACGAGTAATTTCTATTTTTAATAGTTCTACTTCACGATTAAATGTGTATGCAAAGGTTTTCATGTGATGTGAGTGGAATCTCTATGGAACCTCTTTAAACAGAGGTAATTTCTCTTTTCTATATATTCTATTTCTATAATTTCTATATTTGTATATTTTCTATAATTTCTATATTTGTATATTTTCTATAATTTCTATATTCGTATATTTTCTATAATTTCTATATTCGTATATTTTCTATAATTTTTATAATTTCCATATTTCTATATTTTCTATATATTCTATAATTTTCATATTTATATATTTCCTATATATTCTATAATTTCCATATTTCCATATTTTCTATACATTCTATAATTTCCATATTTCTATATATTCTATAATTTCCATATTTCTATATTTTCTATATATTTCCATATTTCTATATTTTCTATATATTTTATAATTTCCATATTTCTATATTTTCTATATATTCTATAATTTCCATATTTCTATATTTTCTATATATTCTATAATTTTCATATTTCTATATATTCTATAATTTCCATATTTCTATATTTTCTACATATTCTATAATTTTCATATTTCTATATACTCTATAATTTCAATATTTCTATATATTATATAAATTTCAATATTTCTATATATTCTATAATTTTCATATTTCTATATACTCTATAATTTCTATATTTGTATATTTTCTATATATTCTACAATTTCTATATTTCTATATTTTCTATATATTCTATAATTTCCATATTTCTATATTTTCTATATATTCTATAATTTCCATATTTCTATATATTCTATAATTTCCATATTTCTATATTTTCTACATATTCTATAATTTCCATATTTCTATATTTTTTATATATTCTATAATTTCCATATTTCTATATTTTCTATATATTCTATAATTTTCATATTTCTATATTTTTTATACATTCTATAATTTCCATATTTCCATATTTCTATATATTCTATAATTTCCATATTTCTATATATTCTATAATTTCCATATTTCTATATTTTCTATATATTCTACAATTTCCATATTTCTATATTTTCTATACATTCTATAATTTCTACATTTATATCTTTATTTATAATTCTCTATATTTAAAATATACACACCATTACGTGTTATCAGGAAAACAGGAACGTTTGAAAACATATCTCGAATGAAATTAACATTCGAAGGTACTGAGAATTAATCAATACACGTGTACGAAAGGTCAATAAATTCTTTTCAACCCGTTAGCGTGAATTAAAGAAATCTGGACAGGTTTACGCTCTCCGCCAACTGCGAAAGGTTTTCGTTCTTAAATCAATTAAGAATTAAACAAATGTACACCTACTGTGTCACTAGTGTGTCGTTCGATGCAGAACGCAATGCTCGACGCTAGATCGAACGCAGCCAGTGAACTTTGGATGTCTTGGCAAATGCCAAGTCACCCGATACGTAAATCGGTCGTGCATAGGCCAGCTGAACGCGGTCTCG